TATGTTTTACCGGATAATTATATTCAACATTTCTCTGCTCTTCATTGTGCTATCAGAATTTTATGCGATCCCTTAAATTGTATACAGAACAAAAACTATGCAGAAAAATTATTATTATGGTTTGTGCAGAATTTTAAACGCTTGAATGGTACTAAAAATATTGTATATAGCATACATAATTTGATACATCTTGCTGATGACGTAGGTACATTTGGAATGCCATTGGATGATTTTAGTTGTTTTCCATTTGAAAACAAAATAAAAAAAATAAAGAGGTACCTACGCAAAAACGATAAACCATTAGCACAAATATTTAAAAGAATATCGGAGGAAACTGCACTTTCAAATATCAAGAATTTTGAAAAAAAACATATCCATTATTAATAAAAAAATAAGGCTAAATTGATTATTCCGTTCCATTATAATTGTTATTACGAAGAATTAGTTTTCGAAAAGTTTACTTTACGTACAACAACGCCAAACAATATATGCTATTTAAAAGACAACAGTATATATATTATAAAATATATCGTAACGCACACATTAAATTCGGAAATCTTCTGTATAGGATATAAATTGACAGTTTTTGATGTATCCTTTTATCCAATAGAATCAAACAAATTTGGTGTACATTTAATTAAAAATGAAGATAAAATATTACAAAGATTTACAGTTGACAATATTAAAGGAAAAAATATAAGAATAATGTTAGAAAATTCTGTTTTTGTATTACCACTTATACATTCCTGTTTACTTTGATTTCTTAAATGGACAAACATTATATAATATTCTAGATAAAAAAATCTTTAAACGTATATATACTATATTATTTTTTATCATTTGCTCTTCTTATATTGAAAAATATGTATATTTGTCTCCTATACATTGTGACGTGACATTTTTGAGGTCCGTCACAAGGGCGAGAGAGCCCGATCGAGGAAGGAAATTTGAGGTCGGAAACTCCACCGCGGGGGGCGACGACCTCTCCCTCCTAACTCTCTTTTTGAGATTATAGATTTTGCGTTGTAGCGAATTGCGCGAGTCGTGGTGAGTGGCCAAACTCCCATATTGTGAATTGAAGTGGAGCAGCCTTCGTGGGACCTGCGAGGGACTCAGCAGGCAGGACGACGGAGGCCCGGACGGCGTGCAGACAGATCCAGAATAAGGGCAAGTAGAAATACCCTTGCTTGTATAATTCGATTCCAGACGCAGTCGCTACCGCAGTTACCATTTCAGATACAGAGCATATCGAGGCCGGTGAACGCACCGAGAGAGATGACGCCCGAGAGGGAAGCGCGCTCTCACACGCCAAAGACCCAGGGTGGAGTACCCGAAAAAGGAACTGTCGTAACGAGCCAGGAAAGCAGAATCAGGTCGGAATCTGGCCAGTTCCCGGCCGATTCACAGAAGGTTCGGATCCGGAAACGGAAAAGGCCGCGAAGGACGTTAACGGCAGCTGCCAGAAGAGAAAGACCGGGGTCACCTCGGAAAAGCGTCACCGAGGGCCGATGTATCGAGGAGCGACGCGAGAATCGCAAGATCTAGGAAATATCGAAGGATCAAGACGCGCTAATCGATAGCGAGGATCTACATGCGCAGGACGATGCGCGGAATGTCACCGCTGTCCGGCGAGCCTCGCTGTCGTCACTGTTCGGCGAGTCGGCAACCTGAGAGGAGCCTTGAGGACCACAACGGGCGTACCGACGATTTGTAAGGCCACCACTTCAACTTCGCGATAAGAGCGGTATCAGTAGGCGGCCCGAGCCACGCGGAAATAAAAACCCGCATATTTTTGCGTAAAGGGTATAGCATATCCCGAGATGTCTCGCGGTATCATGTAAGATTAGATTTTGGCCGGGCCCCGCTGACTACCGCTTCTGTAGACTAAGATTTCACCATGCCTTTTCCCCTCGGAGCTGCCGAGCCGACAGTCGTTTTGTATAGTATAATGTCTTTTGTATAAGTGATAATTTCGCGTCAATTCTTGTAATGGTGTACCGAGCGTAAGAACTTCTTGAAGTTAGCCTGTCGCGTATTTCTCATCTCGACCTTCTGTCGAGCGTTAATACTAAGAACAATTAAGAATCGTGTAAGGAAAGAATTGCGTTGTACGCTGACTATTATAAAGAAAATTAACGTAGAGTGAATAACAACGACCGTACCCAATGAGAAGTATAGAACTGGTACGTCGAATATATTATATCGCGTGAAACGGAAGTACGCGGATTTCCGCGAGTCGAATATCAAAATCATAGAGCCTCTCTCCGAGGTAATTTATGTCTCCGCTCCGCGGAATTGTTAAGGCGCCGATCACCCGGCGTCAAACTCCCTTGATTACTCAATTATCAATATCACCGAATTACTAGAATTAAATGTTATTTGTTATCAATGAATGTGTGCTTAATAACCCTCTATTTCAGACTCCTCTCTCCAAGTCGGTATTTCGCGTCTCGCAAGAACCTCGCCCCTCTGCCATTTGTAGAGTGGGCTAGTCACGCTTATCGCCGTTGCTCATTAAGAAAAGATATTGACTCTAACGTAATTTGTTCGTGCGGCGCGTTAATCCGCGCCTGGCGCCCAACTATAAGTATTGTAGTAATTATTAAAATCGATTGAATAAAGCAACGAAGTTTGACACGCTTACCGGCGGGTGTACTTCTGCCCGACGGAAAAACCGTCGCAACATAGATATGTATCTCTTATTTTACACAATATGTTCTTATATTATGAGAAGAAAAAAAATATGAATCTATAGTGAGATGTTGATGAAAGAGATAAAAGAGTTGAAAATTCATTAATTACACATGTGATATTGTACATTTACATATACATAATACACATATACAATAATCAGAGTTAAGGAAAGGTTATTCTATAAAAATAATATGTTACTGTTACCGTTCTTTTGTTTAAAAAGCAATTTGTTATCGTTACTTGAAGGTAACAATTAAAATTTCTTATATTTCCTTATATATAATCTCTTTTTAATACTACAATAAGATTAAATTAAATATAAGTGTTGAGATAGTAATGTTTTGTCCAATATACTTAAGTTGGTAGTACTAAGTTTGTAAGTATGTAAGTTGGCTATTCTGCCGAAGCTTGCTCTCTTCCATGAAAACCGAGAAGAAGAACACGCGCTCTAAGACTGAAATGTGAAATGTTCCGAAATAAAGCAAATCTATATGAAAAGAAACAAAATTCTGATTTCCCTGAATAAGGAAATTACCCACAAAACAACAGGTTATGGGCCCAGGGCGCCGAAGAACAGGATTGACAAGATAAAAATTCGGATAGCGGACTGAGAGGTTAGTCACGCCGCAAACTCTAAGAGAACGCAATGGCCCGAGACGTGAAATACGATCATTACAACGTTGATCCGTTAAATGGAAACAATTATGAAGCGTGGAAATTTAGAGTAAATACAATATTAGTAGAACAAAATGTGGAGGAAATGATAAAGACAGAGTATCAAGCTGAGGGATATGCAGATGATAATAGGAGAGAGGAAGCAAAGAAAAAGGATAATAAATGTAAGTCCATAATTGTGCAATGCATCGAGGATACGCAAATAGATATCGTTCGGAACAAGGATACGGCATACGCCATGTGGAAAAGTCTGAAAGATATGTATGAAAAGAAAGGCTTATCTGGACAATTATTTCTCAGAAGAAAGCTAATGTCAATGAAAATGGAGAAAAATAAAAAGATAGAAGATTTTCTTTTAAAGTTCGATCGTGTTTTATGCCAGCTAAAGACATCTGGTGCTGAGATAAGAGAAGAAGACACGATATGCATGTTACTTCTAGCATTACCAAAGTCATATGAAACGGTAGTAACAGTTCTGGAAAATGTACCTATTGAAAGTCTCAATATGGATTTTATAAAAGCGAAACTGAGAACAGAAGCTGAGAAGAAGAAAGAAGTCAGTGGAAGCCGAGATGAAATGGTCAAACCAATTGCGTTCGTATCAAAGAATTCACTGACATGTCACAATTGTGGTGAAGATGGACATTTCAAGAGAGATTGTAAGAAGCCAATTCAAAATCAGCCAAGTTATAATGGAAATCGAGGCAACGCATACCGAGGGGAAATAAACCGAGGTGGCAGGTACCAAAGAGGAGGAAATTTTGGAGGCCGATCCAGATACCAAAGAAGAGGACATTACCACTCAAATTCAAGGTACAATCAAAATCAAGATACACGGAAAGGGAACTACGTCAAAGCTGAGGATGCCGGTGATGACAGCGTCTGCTTTATGAGCGATAGAAATAAGTCTATTCAAGATAGAGGTAATGATACAATTGTTTTTCTTTATAGATTCGGGGTGTACCGACCACTTGATAAATGAGAAACGTCACTTTAATGACTTAATGATGTTGAAAAATCCTATTAAAATAGCCATCGCCAAAGATGAAAATTACATAGAGGCTATAGGTATTGGAAATGTTAACGTTCTTAGTTATGTAAACGGTAAAACAGTTAAATGCGTTATTAAAAATGTATTGTATGTTCCAAATTTAAGGAGAAATTTATTATCCGTTAAGAAACTAGAGATGTGCATCATAAAAGTAATATTTGAAAATGGAAAAGTAAAATTATTTAGTGGTCAGAATTTAATTGGGATAGGAATTAGGAATAATCTGTATGAAATATTCTTTAAAGTTGTACGAAGTGAATGCTTGAATATCGAAGTAGAGGATGAAAAGACAAAACTGTGGTACAAAAGATACGGTCATATGAGTTACGCGAATCTAAAGAAACTAATAGATTATGAAATGGTTGATGGTATTAAAAAACTGAATTTGAATAAAGTTGAATTTTGTGAGTCATGCGTAAATGGAAAGATGACAAGATTACCTTTTAAAACAAGGAACAGAAGTAGTAGTCTTTTAGAGATCGTTCATTCAGATGTCTGCGGCCCAATAACTCCAATATCACATGATAATAATAGGTTTTTCGTGACATTCATAGATGACTATTCAAATTTCGTTTGTGTTTATATAATTAAAAATAAAAATAAAGTTTTTGACTGTTTTAGAGAATACGCACAAATGGTTCAAACAAAATTTAAGAAGAGAATATGTACTTTAAGATGTGACAATGGTAGGGAGTATTATTCTAATGGGTTCAAAAATTATTGTAAAGAGAACGGAACAGTTATTGATTATACAGTGCCATATACACCTCAACAGAATGGAAAAGCTGAGCGTTTTAATCGAAGTTTAGTAGAAAAGGCTAGATCTATGATGAGCGATTCAAATGTACCTAAACATTTTTGGAACGAAGCAATTAGAACAGCTGCATACATTTTAAATCGCAGTCCAAGTATTAATTTAGAGTCAGTCACTCCTGCGGAATTATGGTATGATAGGAGACCATATGTCACAAATTTAAGAGTTTTTGGTTCAATTGCATATTCACATGTACCAGAGCAATTTAGAGATAAATTTGATGAGAAATCTGAAAAATGTGTAATGATGGGTTACGCACAAAACGGTTATAGATTGTGGAATATTGAGAAAAGAAAAATTCAAATTTCTAGAAATGTAGTATTCAATAAAAGTGCGTTCTATTATAAAATGAATAAGAAGGTAGCAATTAGTAGTGAAGAAGATGATGGAACCAAAGACAAAGAGGCCATTGTAGAAAACGAAACTAGTTGTGAGAGTGAGGAAGAATTGGATAGGGATAATTTACAAGAAACGATAGAACAAGTAGATGTAAAAAACAGCCAAAGAAATAAGAAAGTTCCTAAAAGATTTGATGATTATGAAATGTATATGGCTTTTGACGCTTTATCTTATATAGAACAAGTTCCTAAAGATTATAGTGAGTTAAACGATAGAGAAGATAGAGATGCGTGGAGAAAAGCGATGGATAGAGAAATAGAGTCTATAAATAAAAATAATACTTGGAAGTCAGTTATTAAGCCTAATGATGCAGAAATATTGGATACTAAGTGAGTATATAGTTATAAATCACTCGAGACTGATCAATTAGATAAATACAAGGCCCGACTAGTTGTAAGAGGTTTTGCTCAAAAGAAAACATTTGATTATGAGGAATTATACTCACCTGTTGCTAAAATGACTACCATAAGAACTCTGTTATCTATAGGAAACCAATTTGGATACTATTTCAGGCAATTAGATGTTAGAACGGCGTTTTTAAATGGAGATTTAAAGGAAGACATTTATATATATCCACCGAATGGAGTAAGACATAAAGCTGGTCACGTGTTTAAACTAAATAAATCACTTTATGGACTGAAACAGTCATCTAAATGTTGGAACAATAAAATTAATGATTTTCTATTAAATTTAGGTTTCAAAAGATCAAATAACGACTATTGTTTGTATTCTAAAGTTCACAAGAATGAAGTTGTTTATTTGTTATTGTATGTTGATGACATAATATTGACTGGCCCAGACTTAGATCACATTGAGTATTTCAAAACAAAATTAACTAATGAATTTGATATAAAAGATAAAGGAGAACTCAAGAATTTTCTCGGATTAGAAATCGTCTATGATAAGATGAAA